CCGAGGGTGGAAACTGAGGCTTGTGGCGTGGGAGAGACAAAGACGGAGAGAGCAGACTTCTCAGTCAGAGCCCGACGCCACAGCCAGCCAGGCAGCCCGGCGGCTAGCTGAGGCCCTCTGAGCCAGGCCGGCAGCTGAGGCCCATGGAGGGACCTTGAAGACCAACCCAAGACCTTGGGAATAGGCAGCTGGCTTTGCATGGTGACTGTGGCCTTGGATGGCCCCACCCCATCCTAGTGTGTGCCCTGGGGAGAGCTGAGCCCTGAAGCTGGGCCTGCAGGCCACCCCCCTAGTCGCTCCGGAGCTGACCCCAGTGGCGTCACGGGGAGTGACTCAAGCCCCATCAACAACAATGAGTGGGACTGACGTCAGGCCGGGGGCTCCTGACGGTGTCTAGCCTGGCCGGGTGGCCAGCACCCTGTCTCCTGACCCTCTCACCCTGGTCAGGCTGCAAGGCCACCAAGGATCAGCTGTTCCCTTATAACATCTGTCCCCCTGGGATCTGGGGCAGGGACTCCTCCATCGCCCACCCCCACACCCCCTCCTCCGAGGCAGAGGAAATGGCTGGGCTTCCGACAGTGTGGCAGAGAGCGTGAGAAAGAGGCACCTCCCAGCCCCGACCTCATCAGGCGGACTCTAGACCTGGCCTGGGCTGGGAGGTAGCATGTCTGCTGCCTGTCCGGGGGGACGTGGGAATCTGTGCTTCGCTATTGGGGAGCAGGGGTGGGTATCTTTCTCCGGGAAGGTCAATGTGTTTGTCTCTCTGGCCAAGTTGGGGTGGGGATGGGGCTTAATTACTGTGTCTATCCTCAGGGGTAAGGGCTCTGTCATCTCTCTGTCCTGCAAGGTCTACACATCTGTTCCTTTGGGAGGCATGTGTGTCTCTGTCCTCTGGCCCAGAGGAGTCTGTGTGACTGTCTTTGCAAAAGGAGAGGGTATTTACCGCCCTAACTCTGGTTTCTCTTGTGACTCTGGTGTCTTGTCAGGCCAGAGACATCTGTCTATCCTCACAGTACCCCAGTTATCCAGGTTGGGGTTCAGATCTCCAAGGGCTGGGGTGGGTTAGGGCCTCATCCCTCTGATGGGCCAGACTAGGAGGGCAGGGACAGTCGGCACCCTGCCCGGCTGGCTTGCACTGGGCACTGCTCCCTGCTAACACAGCACGTACCACACCCCCGCCTGGGCACTCCCCTCCCAGCCCAGCTGCCACCCCCAGCCCCCATGGCGGTGCCTGAGTAGGGGCTGGACAATGCCTGGTGCCTGGGTCAGATCTTGAGGAGACCTCAAGGGCCCCCTCCCAAGCCTGGCAGGGTCAGGGCCCAGCAGGAGGCGGAAGGAACCAGGTGGTAGGGAGAATAACCGGGCACGGGCCTAGGGGTGCGGGAAAAGGGGCAGAAGCCAAGGCCAAAGCCTCCAGGGCCTATGGTCCTCAGGCCAGCTCGGAGTCTAGCTGGGGGCCCTGGAATGGGTCTCCTGCCCTCAGAATGTCCCTGGCTATGTAGGGAAGGAGATACTGGGGGAGTGGAGGGTGCTTTGGCTCAGCCTTGCGCTAACTCCTTCCTGCCCTCACAGCTAGAGGCTAGAGGTTTCCAAGTCCCACTAGCCGGCCTAAACCTTACCCCAGCAGCCCCCAACCTGGGGCCAAGGCAGGGCGGGGCAGCAGCCTGAGCCTGGAGCAGGGCTGAAGGCGGAGGTTTGGCGCTGGGCTCTGGCTGCTCCAAGAAGGACACAGCAGTTGGCAGCTGCAAGGCCAGGCCTGGTAGGGCTGGACAGTGGATGGCCAGAAGCTCACCTCCTCAACCTCATATTCTGAGGAGGCCAGGTGGTTCTCGGGTCTCCGATGCAGTCAGGGCCTTTGGTGGGGGCTGAGGCTAGTTCAGATTTAAGCTAAAACTCCCTGGGACTCCCTAGACCTGGCTGTCCCATAAAGGGGACCCAGCACTCCCCTCAGCCGAGACATGCCTGACACAGCTGCCTCAGGGCTTCGGAAGGACATCCCTAACCACCTGCTAACTGTCCAGCCACTACAAGCGGCCTCCCACCTCTGACAGCCTCTCACTGGCTTCCCTCCGCAGCCCTACAGCAGGCTACACATAGCCCAGCACCCTGGACACCCAGAGCCGATCATGTGGCACAATACAGCTCAAGTACAGGGTGGCTGCCCGTGACCTTCAGAAGCTCCTCAGCCTCCTTGAGGCCAGCCTTTGCCACCTCCCTCCATAACCAAGTGCCAGTGGCCAGAGCCCAGGTAAGAGGCAGTTTCCTCCATTCCAGGTCCCTGAGGAGGGTTATCAAGCACAAACTCTGGGGTATACAGAGCCACCCCAACCCCAGTCACAATGGCACCTCAGGGCTGGGGAGGGGGCCAGGGCCCCTGGGCACAGGGCCCAGCGTGGGTGGGGTAGAGGGGAGACAGGGAGGCAGGCTTCCTGGGTCTCCATGTGAGGACAAACAGCAGGCTTTGAGGCCTTGGAAAATCCCGCCTGGGATTCCAGGCCCTGCCGGCGTCACTGCCTTTTGACTATTGTCCCCGTCGGAAACGGGCCCTGCCCCCGGCTAGCCGGGACAGAGCAGCCATTGTGAGGCCCCACCAGGCTCAATGCCCCCTTGTTCGCCCTCCCAGCCCCTAGCAAGACTGGGAGGCCAGTTCTTCCAGTTGCTCAGTGGAAAAGAAAGAGCCTGCCTGCAGGCTCCAGCCCTTGGGCGGGTCAGGGCGGGGCGGGGCGGGGCTGGAGAACTCGGCCTCCCACCCAGTACCCCAATCACCAGAGTACTGGAAAGGGGCCACCGTCCCCGATGGAGCTTCTTTCATTTACAAAGCCCCTGGGCAGGGAGACCTAGGGGTTAGGTATCTAGACACACCCTGCTCTGCCACTTAGAAGCCTAGTGACCTTGGGAAAGTCATTTCCTTTCTCTGCCTTTGTAAAAGCTATAGCTATGATTTATTGTTTGTTGCACACCAGGCACTGTTTGAAATACTTTGTATACATGCATTCATGTAATCATTGTAGTCACTTTATGAAATAGATACAATTATTTCCCTATTCACAGATGAAGACGCTAAGGCACGGAAGTATCTTAGTGGAAATTCTCCAGCTACAAACAGCTGGAGCCAAGATTTAAAGCCAGGCAGCGGGTTTCCAGGGTCCTGGCTCTCTACTGCTCTGCTGGGCTCCCGGCCCGTGAGGTGGGGATAACCACATTTTCTTCGTGGGGTGGTAGTGAGGGTTAGAAAGGACAAATATCACATGAAGAGGACTTGGTGGGTGATGGAACCTTGTACATGGTAGCTCTTATCATCGCTACGGGGCTTAGATATCTACACAGACTAAGAGTCTCCAGGGCTCCCCCCATACCCAACCCCTGCCTCTAACTCAAGCCCCTAAGTGGCCCTTTTGCCTTCCCCAAGGGACTGCCCTGTACTCCACATCTGTATCCATGCTAGAGTCGGGGGTATGGAAGAGAGTGACCCAAAGGGAGAGGCCTCAATCCAATCCCACAACTGGTGGGAGATTTCCCAGCAAGCTCTCTGTTCCTAACCAGAGTACCACTCCCGGACCCACCTCTTCACTGAGTGGATGGGGAAACTGAGGCTCAGGGAGGAAGAGGAGCTTCTCAGAGAGCAGCATGGAGTTGGGAGGCAGGGCTGAGAATAGAAGCAAATCTCTGAACTGCTCCCCACTCCCGCCCCCCCCCACCTCCGGTCTGCCCCGCACCTTGCCGAGTGTGTGCTTTGACAAAGGCTCATTCAGGTGCTTGGGCGGGGGGTACCAGGGACACATGCTGGAGGTTGTAGTCACCATGAGCGTGGCCCAGGGCTCCCTACCCCAACCACATGTGGACCCTGCAGAAGGCCTGGGGCTGGACTGTCTTCCTCGAACCCCAGCAAGGGCATGTGGTTGATAGCTCCTTGGGGAACCTGTGGGCTGTGGCTGGAGCACTGGGAAAGACCCTTGATTCCATCCTCGGGAGCAAAGCCCTATATTGTACGGCTTCCATCCAGTCAGGGGCCACGAAGGTGGAGCCTCAGAGTCCCGGGCCAAGAGTTGCGAGGAACAGGTGTAAGGGGCAGTGCTTTCGGGCCTCCTACAAGTTCCTTGGGAAGGACTCCACCCAGCCAGCCAGACACTGAGCTCAGTGAAGGGGGATGGACCCTGCTAGGCTGGCAGCTATCTGGACCTCAGGCTAGGGTCCATCTAGGTTCCTGTTTCTCAAAAAAGTGGCCCTGAGACACACACTGGCATCACAAGCACTTGGCAAAAGTGTTTGGTAAAAGCGTGGACTCCTGGGCCCTCCCCCTCAGCAAATCGGAGTTTCTGACATCAGATCCTAGGAATCTGCCTTTCAAGCCAGCTAAGCAACTGATGAGCTGGGGAGTTGGAGGACCTACGTAGGGGCATCTGAATACAGATAGGAACCCCAGAACGATCTTCTTCCCGAGAGGACAAGGGCCACCAGCAACCTGGATGTTATTGCTGGGGCACTAGGCAGGTGGGGATTGTAGAAAATGCAGGTGGAAAAAAACTTGTACTAAAGCTAACGCCATCCCAGGCTGCCCTGTACCCAGCCCCAGGCACCTCCACCGACGTTCCCGGACTCCCACAGGCAACGCGAGGTTGGCTCTGCCCCTCACCCTGTCTTACAGATGTGGAAGTCCAATCAGAGACCATGGCCCCAAAGGAACAGTGACAGCTGGAGTGACCCTCTCGCCCCTCAGCTCACTGGCCTCCACCACGAGCCTCTGTCCATGAGGCATGGGCTTATCAGAGCCTTTCCACGTATCCAAAATTAGTCTGAGTGCTTTGCGTAACCACCCCAAGAAGCAGGGGTCATGATTATCTACACCTTTTAGAAAAGTATAAACTGAGGCCTATGAGCTCAGGTCGGTAACCTGAATGATTCAGCCAGAGTTGCTTCTGTCGCTTCAGTAATGATGGTGATGGGGGTGGGGGATGTGTGTGGGGAGGAGGAGGGCATAAGAGACAGGCTCCTGGTTTCAGCTACAGGCCTATTTTTTATTCAATATATTAAATATATTAATCAGAAAAGTCACATACTACAAATCCAGGAAAATACACAAATATAAATGTCAGAATCTGTCATTTGTCTTCCTCCTAGAGTAAGGTTATGTACATGTGGAAAGAGGGCGGGAAGAGAGAGCAGGTGCAAGGAGGGGGGGAAGGCTTGCCCGGCTGGTGGGGGCTGTCCCTCCCTCCCAGCCCCCACTCCCATCTCGGCCTCTTCCTTCCTGTATTTACAGCGGCATTTGGCTTATTTACAGCACAGCGGTGTGTGTTAAAAACGGTTTATCTTACAAAAACATGAAGGCCAGGGCCGGGCATGGGGGCGGTTAAGACAAATAGTAGGGGTCCCCCTGTGAGTGCATCCCCCTCCCCCGGGGTGTGAGCTCCCTGCCAAACCACCCAGCCCAAGTGGGGAGGCTGGCCAGTCTGCAGCTCGAGCCCAGGCCGGGCTTTGGGGGCGGGGGTGCTCCGAGGGGCCATGGGCCGTGGGTTAAAGGCACGTGGGGTGGCGTCTGAGCGTGCACACGCGTTGCACACGTGTTCCTGGGCAGGGGTCAGAAGGGCAGCGTGTCCATAAAGATCTTGTCGACGATGGGCGGAGGGGGCACCAGGTCCTCCAGCTTGAGGTAGAAGATGCGCTGCAGGCCCTGGGTGCCCAGGGTCCGCAGCTCGGGCAGCTTGCCCAGCAGGCGCGACAGGCAGCTGGCCGGCTGGGGCTCTCCTGCTGTGGTCGAGACGTGCTCCTTCAGGCAGCTGGCGATGCGATTCTGTAGCTCCTCCACCCGCCGAGGCTCCTGCAGCCCATGCCGGTCTGGAGGGTTGCGAGGAACGTGTGAGGTCAGCCACCTGGCTGAGGAGCAGCCCTCCACCTCACCCCCAGTCCCCACCTCCTCGCCCGCCTCACTCCCTGCTGGAGAACTGCCCCCCACTGGCCGTCCTCCCCCAGTCCCCGGGCACTTGGCAAAAGTTCACACACAAACCCCCACTGAAGTCCAGTGGCTGTGGCAGTCACACTCATTGTCCTCATCTTCCAAATGAGAAACCGAGGCCCAGAGAGGTTAAAGGAGTTGCCCAAAGTCACAAAAAAACCCTATTCCTAACCAGATTTTCTGCCTAAGGCCCAAGGTTTTCTCCCAGGCACTTCCTGAGAAACCCTGGAGAGGAGCCGTGGTTTTAGGGATTCCAAAACCCACCGTTTCCCTTGGCCCAAAATGCCTTGGATTTTGTCCTCTATGGCTGGGTCCCCTGTGAAATTTAAGTGAAAGGGGAAACAGGGGCAGATTCTGGTGCTTGAAATTTTTTAAATAAAAGAGATCTGAAAACCTCTGCATTTAACACAGAAAAATCCACCCTGAATAATTATACCTACGTAAAGGACACACCAGGTGTGTGTTAAAAAGCCTAGTGTTGAAGGTTGGGGCCACAGTTGCCCTTGGGGGAACTGAGGGCTGTAAGAGGACAGGAGGCAGGGTTCTGTTTCCTGATCCAGGTGGGAAATTTTCTCATTTGTACACTTTCCTGCACGCCACGTAATTCAAGTAGGTTTTTAAAAACAACCCCAAATCCCAGGCCACACGCAAAAACCACATGGTGTGCCTCCTGGATAGTATGGGATAATTCCAACTGCCTCGGGCTTTGCGATCAGATACGCCTGGGCCAGGACCCAGACCCCAGCTCTGTTGTCTACCAGCTGTGTCACTCGGAGCACAGGCTGGCCCCTCTCTGCCTCGGGACGCCCTCGCTTCACCATGTGGGGGCCGAGGGCCAGGCCCTCAAGCCCTCCCCAACTCCCTGGCAGCCACTCACCCGTGATGAGGACAAGCGCAGAGAGGCAGGCGAAGGCAGGGACGTCGACGACCAAGCCATGCAGGGACCGAGAGAAGGCCAGGATGCCGTCAATCCAATCACCGAAGCCACGGGCGCACTGCAGCCGGTGCAGGACCAGGCCGGAGCAGAAGACGAGCTTCCCTTCGGCAGGCTTCGACCTGGCACAGAGGGACGCAGAGGCCGGTCAGGGTGGGGAGCTTGAGAATAGGGCACAGGGGAGGAGCCCTGAGCAAGCGGACGGCAGCGACTCACCGGTACGCCAGGCGAAGGATGAAGAGCTCCAGGAAGGCCGACTCCAGCAGCAGGTCCTGGTCGCTGGGGGACAGCTCCGCGAAGCCTGGGATCTTCTCGGCCCACTTGCGGATCACCTCTAGGGAACCCGAGAGCAGGTCGTAGAACTGCTGCACGTCCCCAGCATCCTCCTTCCCGAAGTGGGGCAGCACCAGCTCCTGGAACTGAGGGCGGGCAGGGGGTTGGAGGTCAGCAGCCTGCTAGGGGCCCCATACCATGGCCATCACCTGAGGCCATGTGACACAGTCGGAGGACCCCCGGGTCCCAGGGGCGAGAGAGAGAGCCTGAGAGTCCGCCCATGCTCTTGCTTACCAATTCTCAAGCATTAACCCAGGGCCGAGGACGCCGGGAGGAGCACATTTTTCTAATTGGCCACCCACCCAGGGGGGTACACTGTCCACCTGGTCACCCCAAAGGGGGCTCTTTTCTCCAGTGTGTTGTGCCCGCAAGGGGCCTTCTCTAAGATGCCCAAAGGCACTGAGTGTGGGGCAGGCGGGGCCTCACCTTGGAGTAGTCCAGTTTGGCGGTGCTGGGCCCAGAGTCCAGGTGCGCCCTGACCAGGGAGGTGAGGAGGTTGGCAGGGGAGGCATCCGGGGGCTGCTTGGGCTTTGAAGGGAGCCGCCCCCGCCGGCCCTTCAGGCTGTCTGTCCGGACAACTGCAGAGAAACAGGCAGGGCTAAGGAAGGGAGGCAGGGGTCCAGGGAAGGGACTCTCAGCCCAAGCTGTGTACATCAATGCTGGGAAGGACCTCGGAGTCTAAGGACCTAGAGCCCGAGACCCTACAGAGAGCACACCCCACCCCCCGCCGGCCCATGCGCCAGATAGGAGGACCAGAGTGCGAGTGCCCATAAGGCCTGCTCGTGCCAGCCACTGTGGCCCACCAGGACAGAGGTCTGGGGGGCCTCTGTCTGCCCCACCCCACTCAGGCCTGCCTCTGTCCCGCCAGCCCATCCTGGCCGCCCACCTTCCTTCACCATGCCGACGGCCAGGCACTTCTGGAAGCGGCAGAACTGGCAGCGGTTTCGCCGCCTCTTGTCCACAGGGCAGTCCTTGTTAGCCAGGCAGATGTACTTGGCGTTTTTCTGCACTGTACGCTGGATGGGGGGGCCACACGGAACAGGCTGTCAGAGTCGGGCGGGGGGGGGCAGGGGAGGGGACCGTCCAGATCCTGCTGCCATCATAGACAAAAGCACTCTCTGTTCACAGCTATTTTTCTAACATTTGGATGGCAGGGGAGGGAGAGATGGCGAGGGGGTGGGGTGGGGGGAGGAAGAAGAAAGTCTTGGGGACACTGGGGGAGGTTTACGCCCAAGAAGGGAGACCCCCCCAGGACACAAGATTAGGGCCCAGGGGTTCGGGGCTCCATAGCAGCCCAGACACCTGGACTTCTCAATGTGCCTTCTCTGGGGCTGGCAAGGGAGGGCAGAGGAGGGCTGGGGGGTGGAGACGGGAAGCTGAGCAGGCACCCAGAGCTGGGACAAACATACAGCCTGTTCCCCAGTCCGCCCCCAGCCCTCGAGCACCAAGCCCTCTTCTCAGATCCTTTTATCTCATGCCAGGAACATGAGTGCCTGGGGCCCCCTTCCCACCAGGACCTTGAACTGGGGGAGGACAGGCAGAAGAAAACCAGAGGCTGGCCATTAGCATGTGCCCTCTGGGGGACATGCCTGCGGTCCCCACCCTTGCCTGTACCTCACTATCACTCTGTGGGCAGCCCCCTGCCATCTATGGGTCCCCAGAAGGGCGGCCCACCTGCAGTTGTGACCCCTCCCAGAAGGGCAGGACAAGGTGGGAAGAGAACCCCAGGGAGGCTACCACAGAGACCAGACTTGCCCACTTCCCATAAAGAGCTGAAACCAGGGCAGCCCAATACCTTGAAGAAGCCCTTACAGCCCTCGCAGGTGCGGACTCCATAATGCTGGCATGAGGCGTTGTCCCCACACACAGCACAGCGGCCCTCGCTTCCACCTGGAGCCCCACTCCGGGCCTTGGCTGACGGCACGGGTGTGTCCAGCATCCCTGGGCCGTCCAGGTGTGGAGAAGTGGGCGCCAGGCCTGGGAAAGCCGTTGATATGGAATAACTCTCCCTCTCCCCCAGCTGGCAGGTGGCCTGTGAAGGGAACAGCTTCAAGGGGCTTTGGGCAAGGCTGGGGCTGGGGCCAGTAGGGGGGCTGAAGGAAAAGAAGGCTGGCGGCTGGGTATGCCCGGAAGCCTTGGGCAGTTGCTCTGTCCATGCCCGCAGGCCTTCGTACGTCTGGCTGGGTGAGAAGGGGCCGAATGAGCCATCCCAGGGAGAGAGCTGGGATGGCTGGAAGCTGGGCGTGGACGGTGATGGCGCTGAGCAGGGGCTGCCGTAGTAATCGGAGCCGCTGGAGGACAGGGTCTCATCCAGGGGGGCGCTCAGGGGGCCAGGGTAGCATCCGTACACCTGGAAGTCCTCAAACTTGAAGGAGGCAGAGGAGGGGGAGGTGGCCGAGGATGAGGATGTGGAGGAGGCCGAAGAGGAGGCCGAGGAGCATGGCTGGGCTGTTCCTGGCAGCTGGTAGAGGAAGGTGTCAAACTCCCCTGTGTAGCCATCCATGAAGGTGCTGAAGCTGGGCAGGGCGGTGGGGGCCGTGGGGGCTGCCTCAGGGCTGGCCAGGTCCATGGTGGGCTTACTGAGCTCGGGGGTCAGGGGGTCGCTTGCCAGGTGGTCGCGGGGTCCTGGGCTCGGTGCTGGTGTCCCATATTGGGCTTGGATACAGGGCATCTCTGAAGAGGGAGGAGACCAAGATTGGGGGAGTGAGAGTCAAGGTGAAAGAAGCCTGAAGCCTGGCCTTGAAGTCTAGGTCCCTGAGCAGCCAGGTGGCAAGAATCCCAGCCAGACACAGGCCACTGAGGCCTGAGCACCATGGCCCACCACAGAACCCAGAAAGCTCGGTCCCCAGCCGGAACACCATCTCCACCCCCATGTCACAAAGCCCCTGGGCAGTGGCCCAGCAAGAGTGGGCTCAGTTGGAAGGCCAGCCACACCCCAGTCAGCTTGGGAACCCTAGGGAAGGCATCCAGCCAGCATTTCTCTTCTGGAACAGGGGGAAGCTGTGTTCCCCCACACTGGGTAAGGCGTGGGTGGGGGCTGGAAGAAGGGTGGGTGGGAGATGCAACCTGGCAAAGTCCTACTCAGCCCACTCTCTGGGTGCAGATACGTTGTTTCTCCAACCTGGCCCTTCTGGGAATATTCCCAGGCATGGCCCAGCCTTTGCAAAACCCCCTCTCCTCCTCCCCCTCCCCAGTGCCTGGGACAATGCAAGAGGAGCCAGAGCGAAGGGCCCAGCTGCCTAAATCAGAAGCCTAAGCAGCCATGAGCCTGCCCCCCCCTCCCTGCCCCCACCCTACACACTGAACAAAGGCTGCAGCTCCCACGCGCACCCCAGTCCTGCCATCTGGGGACGGGCACCCACTCGGCGCTGCCTGACTTGCTCCCAAAAGCAAAAAGGAAGGGAGCCCGGGCCTCTTCAGCAGTTCCCAGCTCCCCAGGGGATCAAGTAACTGGGCTCCAGACCTTTAAAGGCTGAATGCTGGAGGGAGGCTGAACAGGGGCCGGAAGAAGGAGAGAACAGCCCCCCGGATGTCCAGGAGAATGGACAGTCCCTAAGAAGAATTTCTCTGCTACCCCCAAAGCACTGCTCCTTGCTATTTGTACAAGAGAACTCTCAGAGCCCAGCAGACTTGAGGTGCCTACATGGGGAGGAGAAGGTGTCCTTGCCTGGGTTCCTCCACTAAGGGGTATCTATGTCCTGAAGAGCCCAGGAGCTCAGGCAAGGAGGGCTGGTTACACCCTCAATCATGAGAAGCCTCAAGGAGCAGAGACAGCACCATTGGAGGGCAATCCTTAAGTTTGCAGACTTGTCAAAAACTAACACAGAGGAGGCTCTGAGACACTTCCCCATCCCACATCCACACCTGGGGTCGGTCGGTATGGCTCCGGCCCTTCCAGTCGGGGAGGGAGGCTGGGTAAGAAAGCAAGCTGGAACAGAGAGTGCCATAATCCAGGGAACAGAGAGAGGGGGCAAAGGCTGGCACCACCTCCTGGCCAAAAGCCCGGGGAGTCCTCTGGTTCTAGCCTTTCTCCCACCTCCATGGGCCCTGGACAGGGCAGCTCCACCCCTGGCCTGACACTCCCACAACCAACCCAGGCGATGGAGCCCCTTGAAGCGCTGGCACCGCCCACCCAGGAGTGCCTGTCCACAGGTAGAGAGCACACCTGCGAGAGATAAGACCGGCCACGTCTCCCTGCCCTAAGACAGCCTAGGCGGGGATGGGTTTGGGGTGGAGAAGAGATGGCAGCCACCTAGAATAAGGCTGGGTGTTCCAGCCTTATTCAAATCCTGTTTCTCCACTTGGACGTCCCACATCCGGATCAACCCCCACCAGCCTACCCCCCCCCTTTGCCCAGGTACTTAACTACACCAGATACGGACCTACATCTAGCGTTAAGGGGGGTGGGGGAGAAGCAATCCTACAGGGAGGAGGAAGAGGAGGCGGGGTTGAAGGAGGGAGCAGGGAGAATCCGGCTTCAGGCAGGTCCTGGCAACAATGTGGTTTGCACCTGTTATGCCCAACAAGCTTCAAGCTGCACCCTACCTGTATGAGCCAACAGGGACTGGGGGAGGGGGGCACAGATGTGATCAGCATGTGGGGTTGGAACGGGGCGGGAGGGGGGGGGCGGGGGGGTATCCTTCAGGTACCACACGGAGACTCCAACATTAGCAACTCCCACCTCGGATCCCCAAGGATCAAGATTTCCACACCTCTCTCTTCCACACACACACACACACACACACACAGGATCCAAGCAACAACTAAAACAACGTTCCCTGCGCTTCCAGAGACCCCGCCCCTAAGAAGACTCATTTGGCGGAACACAAGCAGGACCCCTCCACAGTCCAGCTATCAATGCTGGCCATTTCCTTTAGCAATTCAGAAGTCTCCTGATAGAGTTCGGGCAGCAACTTCGGGGATCCCTGCAAACTAACCACAGGCTCTAAAGCGTTAAGAAAACAATTAAGGGAATGGGGGAAGAGGCAGACCTGCGGCGAGGAAGAAGACCCTTTTGGAAATCCAATCCTGGCAGGAGTCCGATGGATCCCAGCAGTTAAAGTTCTGTGTATCTTCCCCTCACTGTACTGAGCCCCCATCGGCACCTCAGTCCGGGGCGCCCTGTGCCATTCGGGTACCCTCAGAAACAGAACTACAACCAGTCTCTAACTGAACAAGTCCCCACTCCTGGTGCCAACTCTAACCCCCTGAGGCTTCCACCTTGCACTGACACTCCCCCCACCCCACCACCGCGCCCGGTAGACTGAAGTCCAATCCGGGTCCACATCCCGCTCCAATCGCTCTCCTCCGACGCCAAGACTGCACCATACACCCGCTCTCGTGCACGCTGACCCTACAACATCCTTTCTGCCCGCGCGTACGCCCATCTCCTTCATGCAACACCCCTGAAAACCAGAGCAGAGCGCGCCGCTGAGATGCACGCTCCTCCTCCCCGCCCCCCCCCGGGGGCGCCTACCTGGCCGACTCCTGCTCCCCCTGCCCGGGACCGGCACCCCGAGTCGCAGTCTGGTCCCTCGTGCGCTCCCCCGGATACTGCACACTCCCCCAAGTTCCGCAGCCTCTGCCACTGGGGCTCCCCAGCCCAGCCCGACCCTCCTCTTAAGCGCTCCGTGACGCACGGGGAGGGGCGGGGGCGCCACTGACGCACGCGGCCCGGCGAGCTTTGGCCATACAAGGGCGCGGGGGGCGGCGCGGTTCCGGCGGGAGGCGGCCAGGGGGAGGCGCGGGACGGGGAGCCCGAGGGGGCGGGGCGAGAGGGGGCCTGGAATGTCTGCGCGCGTGACGCACGCGGGGTTCCATTGACGCAGGGAGCGCGGATTGTTTGATCTATAAATAGTCCCCTCGCGCTCGCCGCACCGGCTAAAAATAGCAGCTCGCGGACTCCCGAGGCTCCCCCCGCGGGACCCAGGACCCGGCACGGGGCCCCCGGGTCCGAAATAACCGGCCTGGAGGGCCAGAGTCTACGAAGGGGACGCTCTAGAGCCGCGGCCGCGGGGCTTCCCCGGACTTGGATCTCTCTTCAGCCTCCGGCTGCTTCGGGGAGCCACGACCGCGCCCGCTCCCTCCCGCTCCCTCGGGCTCCCTCGGCTCCCGGCTCCGCCTTTGCACCCTCCCTCTCCTTCCTGCAGCCCTGGGGGCTCGCCCTTTGCCGCCGCTGGGCTGCCAGGGCAGGCCTCGGGCCGGGGTGGGCAACTCAGGGACAGAGCCCGGACAACGTGCACCCCCACTTCAGCCTGGGGCGTAGCTAGTGCACTTGACCCGTCTTCTCCAGCGGGGTCACTGGCTGAGAAACTGGCCCAGGAACGTCAGAGTCGTGTCTCCTCACCCACCCCCCACCCTGGCATGTTTCCGTCCCCTACTCTCCCAGTGCGAAGTACCTTCCCAGGACAGGGGTTTGCCAGGCCCAAGATGAGCCAATGAGCTCTGTTCCACACGCTGAACTTGATTTCTTCCCAGGCCCTTAGAGGGTGGGTGCACTATAGTTGGGAAATTACCGAATTTCAGAACCGGGTGGAGTCTGAGAAATCTTGTCAAATTTGTGCCGACTCTTCCCCATTTTATAAATAAACAAGCTCAGAAATAATGGCACTTGCTCAAGGTCACACAGTGTGGTGGTGGCACACTGGGCTGGAACCTGGGACCTCTGGCTGCATCTGTAGGGGATCTTCTCACGCCCTCCCCTGCCCATGACTCCTACGTCACCTCCAGCACCTGTGGGGAGAGCAGCTGCAGACCACCTAGAGCCTTCCCTGATCTGGCTGTCACCCCTCCACCCCCATTCTACCCCAAACCTGGGGAGCCCGCACTTGCTAAGTAAGAGAGAAGGGAAGTGAAGCTAACTTTTACAAGGAGAAGAAAACCCCCCCCACCCCCTGGGACCCTGGGATCCCACCCAGCCCCCTTTTCCCCAGTAACTCAGCTTGAAGTATTTCTGCTTCCACTGCCCCTGCGCTGGTGGCCCCACTCTCACCTCATTTGGTCACCCGACAGCACTTCCCCCTACCCAAGGCACTTCCTGTTCCTCACTTCCACTCTTAACCTCCCATCTCAGGTCTCCCACACCCCTGTCTCCAGCCCCCACTTCTGCCTACTCAAAGGTCCTGCCAGCAACTCAAACTTCACCCATTGCTGACAGAGCTTGTCATCGCTGTACTCTCTGCCCACCACCCCATCTCTGCTCCTGATACCCCACCAGCAACTTCTCATTTTCCTCTTACAATTCTATTTTGGAACATCTCTTGGATCCCCTTCCTACTGCCAACCACAGCCCACGCCTCACTGGTGCATCAAGACAGCCGACCAGCTGAGTTGAGGCCGGTGACCTCCACTTCTCCTTGCCCACACCCGGTTAGGCCACTGCCCCTTTACCAGCTTGTCTCCTCTTTCCGAATCCCCCTGCCTGCCAGTGGAGTAGTCTTCATGCAACACCAGTCTCATTCAGAACCCACCTCTGAACCTGGTCAGAACCCGCCATAGCTCCCCCACTTCGGCATACGATCTCAATGTGGACCAATCTTCAGACAGCTCCGTTTTTCCCCAAACCATCTTCCAAAGACCCTTCAAGTCCACCCAGGTGAAGGTGAAGAAATATGGGCAGAATAATGCAAGGCGACTCATCCGAGATCCCCACTCCACTTCACACCAGTTTTGTTTTTCTTTGCGTTGGGCTTTTGCGTAGATTCTGCTTGGAAAAGAGATGCCACACACAGACACACACACACACACACACACACACACACACACACACACACACACACCAACAACAACAACAACAACAAAAAGACTTTAAAATTGCTAATACGGGGCTCCTGTGTGGCTCAGTCGGTTAAGCATCTGACTCCTGATTTCAGCTCAGGTCATGATCTCAGGGTCATGAGATCAAGCCCTGTGGCAGGCTCCTCACTCAGTGGGGAGTCTGCTTCTCTTTCTCCCCCTCTCCACTGCCCCTCCCCCCACTTGTGTTCCCTCTCTCCCTCTCTCTAAAATAAATAATTCTTTTTTAAAAAAATAAGCATTTATTTACTGGGTGGCTCAGTGAGTTAAAGCCTCTGCCTTCGGCTCAGGTCATGATCTCAGGGTCCTGGGATCGAGCCCCGCATCGGGCTCTCTGCTCAGCAGGGAGCCTGTTTCCTCCGCTCTCTCTGCCTTTCTCTGCCTACTTGTGATCTCTGTCTGTCAAATATATAAATAAAATCTTTAAAAAGATAAACATTTAAAGAAAAGTAAAATAATAAAAAAGATAAACCTGCTAAGATCATTCACATCCTCCCATTTTGCAGATTAGGACCCAAGGGTTCCCAGAGCACCTGCACGTTGCTCAGAAGTACACAGCAAGTTTGGGCTGGTGAAGCTAGACCTTCCTCCACCCCAGCAGGGCCTTCCTCCAAAAAATAATTAATTAATCAATTAATTTAATGTCAGCAAAACATGTAGTTTGATCAATCTGTGCTCAAGCCCAGCTTTACCAGTTCTTTGCGAGCTGAGTCAGCCTTGGACCCTGGTGCCCACCATTTTCCCTACCACTTTCCATTTGTAAAAAGCAACACAGACCTTCCCTACCTTCCCACAGGGCCAGCCCGCCCAGGAGCCCCAGGGAACTATGTGTGGTGAGCAGCTGCCCAAGGCCCTAGTCTAAATCTGCAAATCTCAGCATTAGCCTCCAGATGTGAGCCTGCAGCCCAGCGACCCGCCCCCCAGCCTCCCCTTCATTGCCAGGATACTGCAGCTTTGGAGGCTACCTTCTCACTGCCCCAAAGGCAGAGGGAGGGGAAGACAACCACAGCTGCCACTTGGCCATGTCTGTGGAGGCAGGGATGCTGCAGGGTTTGAAAAGAAGTAAATAAGGAGAAAAAGGCAGAGTCTGTCTGTGGGAGCACAACCAGGGCCACCCTTTCAGGCACCCACATGGGGCACCTACCTTAAGGCAGAGGGGAGAGAGAGATGAGGGCTTTGGGATCCTTGGTCTCATCCCTGCTGGCCAGAGGCCCTCCAGGGTGTCCTGGGGCTCTGAGGCGAGTGGAATCTGGCTAAGGTGGAACTCTGGGGAAAGGCACCATTAATGCAGACCCTGGGAAGCCTGGAGCATAAGCTGGTCCCAGGCTCCCAAGAGATCTCCAAGTCTAGCTCTCAAGAGCAAGGTCAGAGTGAACAGCCCCTTGTGGGGGGAGGTGTGGGGTGGCAGGGGATAGGTAATGATGAAGGAGGTAATAATGGGAGAGATATCCAAAACTAGAGGCGAGGACCAGAAGGTAAGGCAGGGCCATAACACAAGAAGCACAGGGAGAGAAGATGTCGTGCTGGAGATGAGACGACAGTCTTCACCAGGCTCCCACAGCACAGCCTGGCCCAGTGCATCAATCTGCCCTCATCACCCTGGAGCCAATGGCTGCTCCCATAAAAGGACCTTGGGCAAAACTTCCCACCACTCATTGGGCAGAGTGACCCATCTTCCTTCTGCTCTAATCCTGCCCATCCTCCAAGACTTGGGGCCATACCCTCCCTCAGCTTAACTCTTAGTAACAAGCCCCTTCTCACCCGTGAGGGGAGGTATGGGGAATAACCACCAAGGGTCAGACCTCAGTCCACAGTACTTCACATGCATTCTTCCACTAAACTCTCCCCTCAACCTTCCAGATTTAGAACTGACCCAAATTTTAAAATGAGGAGATGGAGGCTCAGGGCTAGGTCCTCTAACTCCCAGGTTTGTGCTGGAGCCATGGCCCTCTCTGTGGGCTGCAGACTGTGGCTTCTAGCCCGCTGTGCCTGGCTTCTTCTAAGTGTACCTTAGAACCAGGTGTGCATAGGTGAACGCACGCACACGCACACACACACACACGCACATGCAGCCTGTAAACTGAAAACAGCAGTGCCCATGAAGGGCTCTCTGGTGGGACTGGAAGCATTCCAGTTTCCAACCTGGACAGCGATCAGCCAGGTGTGTTCACCCTGGAAAAGCCATCACACTATATGCTTAAGATTTAATACCTATGATTTGTACACTTTTCCTTATGGGTATTTTCTCAAAAACAAAAGTTTATTTTGAAAAATAGCCATGCCTCAACGGGAGAGACTTATTTATTCACAGGGACACAGATGCTGCTGGAAATCATCGAGCACAGATTCATTCAAGTGTGTGTTGCTGAAATCAGAGAATGGTGCCTGTTTCCCATTAGGGACTTGTTCTCCCAACACACACAGAGCACAGCTACAGCTAGGAGCTGATCTCCCATTAGACAGGGGTCTTCACACAGGATGTTCTCTGTCAACACTGGGTGTTTTCTGAAGCACTCACTAGGCCCTTGTCCCTCCAAGGCAGATCTCATGGGGCCCTCTCATGGGGCCTGGGGACTTAGTGCTGACTCATCCCTCCTCCAGCTGTGTGTGAACACGAGGGCAAGGCCCTGTCTCCCCGATCTCAGCAGGGGGGGCCTTCATGCATCTTCAATAGTAACTAGCCTAGGGCAGGCCCCAAATGGGCAGCCAATGTCCACCGTTGTTCACCAGCCAAGAGGGTGGGTGTGGATTTGGGTAAATGGGGGATGGA